ATCCTCCGTTCCTAATTTTCACGTCCGCTAAGAAATTTGCTTGATCTGCTACGCGTAAATACTAAAAGCGCACGTGACGTAATGATACAACACAGCCTATCAGTATCATCGACCCAATGACGGATATTCACTGAGAGTCACGGCTTCACCGCAAGTATAGGGAAATCTAAAAATTTTAGTCCTCTGCCACCAGAATTTCCCGACTATGGCATTATTCAGGATTTTCGAATGTAAGTAGCATTATTCAGTGTGATACAGCTGGTACTTCTGTGCACAAAATACAGAGCAGAAGAAGCGATGGAAACAGCATCATCGTCATCATCAGCAGCAGCAGTAGCAAAGTGATGCAACTGCCCTGAAACACTCAAGGAAAGCCTTCCAAAACAGCGGTACTGCTAATGAGAATTAACTTAATGACTGAAATATTACTAGGATCGAATGGCTTACAATCGGCCTATGGGAGCATCATCGTAACATAACCTTGGGGGAAGTCTTACTCTACTTCGCTATACTATTTAATTCCTCCCAATCGTTTTCTTGTCAGAAAAATAAGTTGCAAACTTTGACGTGATCGTACGCGCTTCACAAGCGTGCTCGACAGCTGAATTTGAAATCTTTAACTCGCACATGCACGGAGGATACGCTTGCAAAGTTTCAGCTTTATACCTTGCTTGGTTGGCGAAATCGTTTCCCGCTAAAGAAATTTGCATATTTTTTGGGGACCCCGTACACGGGGTCTAGGAACTTATGGGGAAGATCTTAAAACGGGAGGTGACACACGGGGCAGGAACCCATACCCAAAATTTTAGCCCCCCACCTTTCCTAGTTGCTGAGATGAAAGTGGGTGGCAAAATGCACTCGCTTCTGAACACACACAGACAATCTCTCAACAATATGCATTGTTGCTGGTTGTAGCAACTGCACAACAAAAATACATAAAAATCAAAAATAACCTGAAATTCACGGTACTTTGCTTGTATGAGGTGCTGTAATTTTGTAAAAAGTGCTTTTGGATTGGCCGCCTGCAGCTGCGGCCTCACGCGCGTCGCAAATGCCTGAAAGGGCGATAGTTGCAGCGGAAAATATCAATTTTGATGGATAATTCAGTCAGAGGAAGCGTTCATTAGGAAAAAGCGCACATCT